TTGCTATTTTTTGTGTTTAAATTAATTCTACTGAACAAAAAATTTAAAGAAGATCTTTTTCTGACTTGCATAGAAGCTCCCTCTGTTTTGGCGAATTCCTCTCTAGCCAAACCACTTTCTAATACTTTCTAAAATTGCTCAGGTTTGCAACTATCTTTATTTGACACTTTCTACTTTTAGATAGGATGGTGTCTGCAGATTACAGAATAAATCACTTAAGTGCTCCTCTATGGTTCACACTTAATTTTATTCATTGAGATCATCTACAGGCTAGATTTGGTTTTTGGTGACCATCTTTAAGAAACCCGTTTTGGGCATTTTATACTTGGAGTGATTTGGTTTCTATGTTGGGTAAAATCAAACTGTTAATATTTGTTTAAATTTTTTTCTTTTAATGAGGATCCATTTGCAGTGTTGGAGAAAAACTTTTGTTTTGGATAGATGTTCTTTGTTTGGAGTCTCAAAGAAACAGTAAAAGAAAATGCTCCATGTTAGATGAACAGCAGAGATTGTGGAAAGGCATAATTGAGTCAGCACAGCTTGTCTGCAGCACGAGGCAGCTGGAGGCTAAAAGTAAACCCAACTGAAGTCTGTTGTCTTGGGTAGCATCTTGTTTGTTTTAATCTTTTATTGTCTTTTGTCATCAGAAGATACAGTTTAGTGCTTAAAAGAGCAAAGCAAAGAAGGAATTATTTGACAGTTTAAAAACAGGGAAACATCAGCCATCTACATCCACAGTTGGTACTATTCACTAAAGCAGCTCAGCTTACCAAAAACTCTAAATAGAGCACAGCATTAGCAAATTACAATCAGGTAAAATTAGGAACATAATTAACATAAAAATTGTGCTTCAATAATGCAATTGTACATAAATATTTTTTTTTTTATTTATATAGCTAGTATTCATAACTATCAGGAAAAAAAAAATCACCTTACATTTTTTAACTTGTTTTACCTTTTGAAGGACCATACCTGTCAATTATTTTAGTAATCGACTGATAATTGATTATTCGATTAATGGTTCACCGATGTGATGGCGTGTTTAGTGAGTTACAAGTTATCTTCCATACCCCTTTGCATCTAATTTGGGGTTTCATCTGAGCAAATCCTTCTTCCACATGCTTAATTTGTCCTCACATGACTTGTGGTAAACTGGATGACATTAAAACTTCCATTCAACAGTCATTCAGGTTTTGAGACGTGCAGAAAAATATTTGTTCTGTCAACAGATTTAGCAACATGAGCTGAGGATCTCTGTAACTCCTCTAGAGTTACTGTGGGTCTCAAGGCAGGTTTTCTGATGATGCTCTCCTCTGCGTTTTAGTTTACATGGGCAGTTTTAAAGTTGTGCCACTCACTTATTTATGATTATTGATGGATTAGACAACAGCGTCAGAAATTCAAAACCCTACCTGTGGTCTGGCTGCTGCTTAATTGGTGTTCATGACACTTGTTTACTTTGTTCTCTGAACAGAACGGCTGTATTTTAACACACAGTTGAAATCTATTTATTAGGTGACTTCTGAAAGCTACAGGCTAAACAGGATTTTTTTAGAGGTGTCGGAGTAAAGGGGGATGAATAAATAGGTATGCCTCACTCCTATAGTATTTAATATTAAAGAAAATAGTAATTAAACATTTTTGCTCTACTGAAAGTTTTTTTTTTTTCTTGGTTGAGTCAAAAATCCATAGAAATTTGTGTTTGTAAAGTGGTAAAATGTGAATACTATTCAGGGCACTGTCTAATACTTATTACTGTTTCATATGTAATTAAAATGGGTATGAAATGATCCACATTGGCATCTCTTTCCCAAATGTCCCACACAACATAACACGGTGACAGATCAGACAGAAAATCAGAGCAACGCATCAAAACAACATGATTCAAGATGCTCATCGCATGAATATTGTTTATTATTATCATTATTATTATTATTGGACAGATACAGTCTACGTATAAACAGATGCAAACAACTTTGACATATTTGGAACCTCACTGTAACATTTGGAGGATTTTTCATCAAAATGTCTACATGAACCCACAATTCTTTTAAACTATAGGCCAATTTCTAAGCTTCCCTTTTTCTCAGAAATGGTTGAGAAAGTGGTTTATGATAAACTGATGGCCTTTTTGGAAGAGCATTAGATTTTAGAGGTTTACAGTCTGTTTTTTAAATGTTACATAGAATTGGTTCTTTTAAGGGTTTAAAAATTTTTTTTTTTTTTGCTACAGATTCTGGTGACTGTGTGATTGTTGTACTTTTGGACTTCACTGCTGCTTTTGATACAGTCGACCACAAAATGTTACTTTCTCGTCTGGCACAGTGGGTTGGCATCAGGGATACGCCAAAGGATTGGTTTAAATCATATTTAGAAAACCAACCTCTCCGTGTCTCTCTTAGCAGTTATACTGTAAGTCTTCCACGGCTACCCTATTGTGTGGGGTGCCACAGGGCTCAGTTTTTGGCCCACTTCTCTTTGACCTTTAACTACTCCCCCTTAGCTCCATAATGATTAAGCATGGTGTCCATTTCCATTGTTATGCTGATGACAGCCAAATTTATATTCCCCTAAGCAAAAAAAGAAGGTAACTCTATTACCTTGCTGTTAAATTGTCTTAAAGACCTAAAGACCTGGATGGCCCTTAACTTCTTGAAATTCAACGAGAGTAAGACCGAGGTCAAGGTTTTTAGCGGCACATCTTGAGGTTCCCTTCACTGAGCTTGGTTATCTAGCCCACTTTAGGAAGTCGGTTATCCCAAACCTTGGTGTCAAAATGGATACTGATCTTAAATTCGATAGCCAGATAAAGGCAGCAGTTTCTTTCAGTTAAGGCAGTTGGCCAAAATAAAGCCCATTCGCTCCAGAGATCTTTTAGAGACAGTAATCCATGCCTTTATCACTACCCGGCTGGATTACGGTAACGCTCTTTATTTGAGGGTTAGTGCCTCTAACATTGCTCAACTCAATAGAGTGCAAAGCACGGCAGCACGTCTCTTATCTGGCACACATAAATATAAGAACTTTACCCCAATTTTAGCCTCATTCCACTGGCTCCCTGTACATTTTAGGATTCATTTTAAAGTTCTTCTATTTGTTTTTAAGTCTCTCCATGGTCTTGCTCCATCTTATCTTTATGAGTTGCTGCACCTTTATGCACCCTCCCTTTCACTAAGGTCAGGCGATCAGCTGCTTCTTAAGATCCAAAAAATAAACGGAAGCTTAGGGACCGATCATGCTTCTCTGTGGCAGCTCCAAAAATATGGAACGACCTTCCATTGCAAATTTAATTGTCTACTTCTTGGTCTGATCTTAAATGGCTCTTAAAAACTCCTCTCTTTGCCTTGGCTTTCTAAACTTTGTGAGATGTTGATTTTAGTCTGTGATACATTATTTTAAATTTCATTTCAATTTTATTGTAGATTTTAATTTTGTCTTTTATGCTTGTATGGTTTATTTAAGCCTACGTAACGGTGTTATGATGTTTCACTGTACAGCACTTTGGTCCTTTGAGGAATTTTAAAGTGCTTTATTAATAACATTGGTTTGGATTTGTGTCCTTTTGGTTTCTGAATGATTTACTTCCCAAATGTGGATGAGAAACGATTCTCCACAGACAATATTTATTCATCTTCTACAAGCTGTCTTTACTTATGTCTTAAGCAGCACATTTTAAAGAGGATTTTATATCTTTATGAATCTGCTGTTGGCACAGCCTCTTAACAAAATCCTGGCTCCGAATGTGGCTGATATCAAAGCAACTCAGGGGATCGCTTGTAAACTGGTACAAATGATGAAATATGTGTCCAACAGGTGCAACAGTAAGTGAACTACGAATCATGAGGCTAAATGCTGAATCATTTCAGAACCAGCAATATGTTTGATACCTACCGGTACTCATTTTCTGGACGTCCTAAAAAGTCAAATTCCAATTCTCTGGAGGAAATGTAAACATAAAATCAAAATCCCTTTGAGGCACGATGTTTGGCTTTTAATAAAACCACGCATATGACATTTAAGGCAAAACCTTTAACAAAAAAACCAAACAAGTCCCTGAAATAATAATGTTTCCTTATATTTCTTTTTGTTTGTTTTTATTCTGGCTTCACACAGACCTATAACAAAAGCCTGCAGCTGTGTTTTCCTGTTTAGATGCAGAAATCTCTGATGTTCAGTCTGTTCTGCAGACCGTCCATCAACCCCAGAGAGAAGCACTTTATATAACAAAGCATTGTTTGGCAGACATGACGGGAACGGACAGATGGGTCAGACAAACACCGCTGGCGATGGTCTGTGACTGCTTATTGGCTTGCCAGCTTGTGTGTGCATGTGTTTTGTAATTCTCTATTTGTGGCAAGTTTGTTTATTGCTGTGAGCCTTACTATTACTACTACTAAAGTATTATTCCGTATGAAAATTGTCTGTGCTCATCAAAAACTATTTATAAGTAAGATTGGATGATATTTTCAGTTTAATTTATTTGTTACTACCAGCTGTTCAATGTAGCTGAAATGTTTATGTTTTTGCTTTCTTATTTCTGCATCAATGTGAATGATGTGAAGCCAACTTAAGGAAGCAGTTCACCTTTTCCGGTAGAGAACCATGCTAACTGACTCCCAAATCAGCTGCTTTGCAATTTCCTGTCATCAGAATCTGGCGGAAGACGTACAAATCCTGAGGCCTCACAACCTTAGAATAGTATGGTCATAAGATATAGATTATGACCAGAAGAATGATTTATGATCACCCTCCCAATAGGGTAGCTGGGCTCACATATATGGGAGCCTGTTTCTGCCACATGAAAATTAAAAAATAGAAATAAATTAATAGAAACGAATAATTATAAAATTCAAAGTGATATCTATATCACAATATGCTTTCATGTGGTGGAAACAGGCTTCCATACATAGAAGATAAAGATATTCTGTTTTGACAGTTGGGATGCTCCTTTTGGAGGTTTTTTGGAGGAATCACTGCTACTTTCTGGAGGAAATAAATATAGTTTATGCTGTGGGATTCCCCTATACAAAGATGGGCAACTCAAGTCCTGGAGGGCCAGTGTTCTTCAACTTTAAAATTTGTCCTTGGTCAAACACATCTGAATCACAAGGTTGAATTAAATTCTCAGTATACAGATGCTCCAGAGTCCTGGTAATCAGCTAATTCAGTAGTTCTCAGCCCTGGTCCTCAATTACCTCTATCCTGCAGGTTTTAGGTGTTTCCTTGCTGACACACACCTGACTTATAAATTAAACCATCGTTTAGAGGCTTCTTCATCACTGGCTTCTGGGGAGGTCATGCAATCACTTTAAGTGGGTGTGCTGCAGCATAAGACATCTAAAACTTGAGCACCAGGTTTGAGAACTATTGGAATTATATGATTTGGGTGTGTTTAAGCAGGAACATATCAAGTCTCTTGAAAACTAGAGTTGTCCATCACTGCTCTAGAATGGAGGGATGAGTTTCCCTCCTGAAACTGTTCGCATCCAACAGTTGCCTGACTGGGTTGTGGGCTAAGTCCAAAAATATTAGTAGCCTACACGTGAATGCTGCAAATTTATCTTAAATATTTTTCATTATAATCTATGTATAGAAATGCATTTTTAACTGTATTATTCTGGTATAAACTGTTAGAACATAATTTCAGTCGATCAAAAACCTGTTTAAAGATTTTTTTTTTATTAAGTGACTATCTTTTTCAAGTGTGGACTATGTCCTGTGCTTGAATACCTTTTCTCCGTTAGGGTTTCCCAGAACATAGCTTCCCATTATGTGGATCACATTTGGCTCGGGGTTGATTTTGCTCATGAAGCGACTCAATCTCCTCCAAAACCTTAAAAAAAACACAAAGAATAAAAAGGACATCAGTGTTTCCTCCCCAAATCGGAGAGTTATTAGCTGTTTTAAAATGCTGATAATTCACATAACTGATGAATGTAAAGAGAGGGTCACATGAGCAAAGGGAGAATCTTTGATGAAACTTGAATATTATAGGTTATAAGCTGAGAAATTAAGTAATAATAAGATTTTTAATACTGTACATTAATTTTAAAAGCTTAGTGTTCTATGTGCCATCATAACTAAGAAAAGTGCTCTAGTGTGAAAAAAGCAGCTTACTGGCTCATGTCTTCTTCTTTTTCCACCTTAGCAAAGGTTGCCACTTTGTTCTTCAACAGATAAAGATGACCAGGGCCTCCCTGTTTAACCACAACAAATACAAAAAGTTAAATCAGATGAAAGGGTTTATGGCAGGAATACAACACAAAATCTTTCATTTCCTTACTTGACAGAAGATAAGCATCCTCCAGAATTTGCTTCCTCTCCTGTACGCTGTGAGCTTCTTGTCTATTTCCTCTGTGAGCCATAAATAAAGCAGAATGAATTTTAGTGACCATGAACACATGAACAGACCATGGTCACAGGCAGAAACACGTATATATATATATATATATATATATATATATATATATATATATATATTAGTTTAAAAAGGATTTAAAGTGATCTTTAAACTGCTCTGTGTGAACTTTATTTCAGTAGAGTAGATGAAACACTACAGGGAGCTCTCAGTTTAGATACTCCTATCATCAAGAATCATTTACGAAAGCTCGTTTTAAATAACAGCAGGCACCTGAATTGGAAGGCTTAAATGTTATTTAAACACACATTATGAGCCAAATCGAAGCTATTATTTGTAGATTTAATTGCAGTCAGGTTTATCCCCGAGCTGTTTCCTTGACTTTTAGCTCTCACTCTACAACAGTCAAGAGTTCAGACTTTACTCCTGCGGCAAACTTCTGCACAGCTGAGACTAAAGACTAAAGGTGGTTTGGCCTATTTTCAGATGGGGACTGATAGATTTATTTTACTTGCTTGCAATGCAATTATTTAAATCAGTTAAAGGATGGAAACAGTATCAGACTTGTTTTTGCTTTAAATTTCTGTCAACCATCATTATAAGATAATGCTCTGAATTTGTCTCAGCCAGTGGTCCCCAACAGTGGTTCTCAGGATACTGTCCTGGATGCTATACGTAACTCTCTGTTCCAGAACAAATGACTCAAGTGTTTGTCTTACCCCCTTTGAAAGCAAGTGATACAGAAGCCTGTTAATCACAGATCTATCTAAGCAGCAGCAGGGAAACACACAGAATATACTGGACAGTAGGATAGATTGAACAGGACTGATCTAAGCCATTTAAAATTGTTTTGTTTTTTTTAGGAGTATATGGACTAAAATCCATCTCTAGGTGATAAATCTTTTAAAACTGTATAGCCTGTTAATTTTTCTTTTCTTTTTAAATGCTCAATTTGGGTAACTGGAGTACAAAAATATGTACATACTTATCATTCAATCAAAGTTTATTTGTATAGCACTTTACAACAACACCATGAAGACCAAGGTGCTTTACAAAAAGATAAAAACATTGCAAAAACAAAAATTGTATGTATTAAAAGCCAGTTTGAAAAGCTGAGTCTTTAATCTGGTCTTAAAAAGGGGCAGATCTGAGAACACACTGACCGAGGGGCAGGCTGTTACACAGTTTAGGTGTGGTAACCAGAAAGAAACAATCGCCCCACTGTTTATACTGAGACCCCTGGCATGTCTAGAACCATTTGATGGGCAGACCAATTTAATTGTTCTACATACTTGATAGTGAGACCTAGCCTGGCACCTTCTGCTCATGTCGACCATCAGTTTGATGAGGACATCCAATAACTCAACCAGCATTTGTCCCAAGGCAGCCATCATGGTCATGCTGATTACACTGGCAGGAGCAGCACTACCAAACTGATGGCACAATCATTTAAATGGGTTGACAGGAAGGCCACTCCATCCTATCTGCTCCCTAAGTATGGGGGTCTCTCTTATTTTCCAGTGAGAGATGTTGCTCCACACTTTTATAGTGCCATTTCCAAGGTGTTAATAATTCACATCAAGGAAAATTAAACAGGCTTGCTCTGAAATACTGCATCAGCATAGAAATAATGAACTAACCAGTATATTCCTTTATTTTGGTGCAAAGTTAGTATAAGGTTTGTATTAGTGCAAGGCTGTATTATTTTTTTTTTCCTGACTGATACCATTGGCACTAACTAAAGCATTCTAAAAATCTAGAACATACTGTAGAGCCAGCAGAACCTTATTCCAGCTAAATTGGGCTCTATATAACAAATGGTAGATCTGTACTAGAGATTGATCCATTCAGGCTTTTATTTAAGGTTAATGCAGATTAATTTGAGTTTTGTCTGATAGTTCCCCAATTTCTGTTGCTGTTCTTTAGCATAATTTCTTGAAGCCGATTATTGCTATTTGCACTTCTGTTTACATGATAGAAATGACACAATGATAACAAATTTTACACAAATCTCAATTTTGTCTTATTCAATTATTTTAATGACAAATCAAGCAAATCATTGATAATTTCTATCAAAGAGGAAGCTGCAAAGCATGCATTTATGAGATCTCAAGGCATGACTGCTGAATGCATGAATAAATTGGCCAAAGCACGGATTCCCAAAACTATCCATCGGTCAAAGTTTCAGTCTACCTCCAGCCTGTACCCAAGAACACTTACCAAAATATATCTAAAGGTAGTTGAAAAGTATTTGCTAAAAGGTTCACCATTTCTAGAATGAGATTTTTCTAAATTGTTTGGTTACATTTTGGTTACATTTGCAAATTTGTCTCATTTACGATTATTTATCAAAATGCAAATTTTACATAAAAAAACTGGCATTTAACAGGGGTGTTTAAACTTCTTATATTCACTGTTTAAGAAAATGTTTTGAATTCTTAGTATTCTTAGTATGAAACCGGTATACTTTTTTTCATTTCTATAAATTGAATAATTTTAATTTAAAAAATTTCAGATTTCATTTGATTTTCAATTAATTATTTTCTTCATAAAATAAATCATACTATACTTTTACAGTTTTAATGTATTTTTACTGTGAAAAAGGCTCTCTAAGCTGCAGGTAGTTTAAGATCAACCAGATTATTTTACAGTTATTTAAAATCGTCAGTCTCCACATGTCAGCCTTGTGTTGGTTATACAAAAATTATCTGAATTTTAGAATAAATTCACCAATGTGTTTGGTGTTTTTCCAAACAAGCAAGTAAAAAGGATTCAACAAAATAACTCACCCAAAATGTCATCAAAGGTTGCATGTTCATGGTCCTGAGAAGAAGCAAATTTCAGCACTGAATACCAAGCAAAAAACTTGAACTGATGGAAAAAACTTTTAATCATCATGACTGAATGTGGTGACTGTTTTCTTCAGTGCACACAACATATCAGTGCTTTAGTGTTGGACTTACATAGAGAATAGGGATGATGGACGGATCATCTCTGCGGATTATGGTGGGAATGTACTCCGCTTTGGGAACCTTGGAGGATATCAGCTAAAGTCGGAAGAAAGGATGGAAAGTATAGATTTGTGAAGGTATTTAAATGAAATCCACAGATTTATTCTAGTTGGCAATGTAGCAGACAAGAGGAATGTATATGAGCTCATAAAGTAGCAAAAACAAAATAATGAACTGAATATGTGCAAACGCTTAAACTTAGCTCATAAACACCTTAAGTATTTCAGAGGCAAATTAATTTGTCCTTCTTTGTCAGCCTACATGATATATACCTGTTTAATACTCCAGGCTTCTCTCTGTGTCTAAAGTTATTGACAGCAGATTACTGTTGTTTTTTATTGCTAGTTTAATTTTAATTTTTCAGTTGAAAATGATATGAGAAGTCTGGCCAAATCTTTTTTTTTTTTTTTTGTACTCATAAAAAAGACATCTATGGCTTCATTTCAAAGCATGAATTTTTAAAAACTATTTTAGATGAAATCTCCCTGCCGTTCCACTAAGGTTATGCATCTATAACAACATTTAAAGGAAGCTGAAAAATCCTCAGGCTTTTCTATTTCAGAGGAATATAGTTTAGAATTTGCTAGAGATGGTTAATCCAGGTCAAGAAAGTAAAAATCATATCTAAATTTTCTCCATCCTCTTCACTTAACCACATGATTTGCCCCCAGTTTTGTTGTAAAGCTTGAAATGCAAATGTGTGGAAGTAATTGCTCTATTGAGTTTTTACTTTCTGGACCTGGATTATCCACCTCTGAATTAGATGATATTCTATTGTTAGCATTATGATAAATATTATTCATTACTTATTTTTATATCATTTTTATGAATAGTTTTTGCCTTAATCCAGTAATTCTGAGCCAAAAAGTGGCTAATCTGAATAAATAGATTTCTTTAAATCTACCTTAAAGGAATAGTACACCCAAAACATGATTAGCCTTCATTTTCTACTCACCCCCATGCTGAACAACACTCTGGAGTACTTTTTTGATATCTCAAATGCATCTGGAGATCTGGGAGGCTTCTTGCTGTCTGCTGACATTCAAATAATGGAGGTCTATGGCGCCCGAGACAGAAAGGTCCATAAAAGTCCACAAAAACGTGTCAATATTCCTCCATACTGCTCGTCCAATGTAATCCAAGTGTCCTGAGTGGGTAGCATCCAGAATTTACTCGAAACGAAGTCATTTAGAATGTTTTTAGAGCATAAACAGTAGTGTATAGGATTTCCTAATAGCGCCCCCATGCGCGCTCACGATTCTACGGAAGCCGGCAGACCAAACCGGAAGAAAGTGCGCATTCAGCGTCTGCTCTGCCGATAATGCAAGCGTAGAAGAAGAAATGTGCTGTTTACCTGTGCAAAGAAAGAAACAACGAAAGAAAAATGTCTGAGGACTTCAGTGTTGAGGAAGAGCATGAGTTCTTTGCCGAGCTGAATGCGCTGGTTTGGTCTGCCGGCTTCCGTAGAATCGTGAGCGCGCATGGGGGCGCTATTAGGAAATCCTATACACTACTGTTTAGGCTCTAAAACGTTCTAAATGACTTCGTTTCGAGTAAATTCTGGATGCTACCCACTCAGGACACTTGGATTACATTGGACGAGCAGCATGGAGGAATATTGACACGTTTTTGTGGACTTTTGTGGACCTTTCTGTCTCGGGCGCCATAGACCTCCATTATTTGAATGTCAGCAGACAGCAAGAAGCCTCCCAGATCTCCAGATGCATTTGAGATATCAAAAAAGTACTCCAGAGTGTTGTTCAGCATGGGGGTGAGTAGAAAATGAAGGCTAATCATGTTTTGGGTGTACTATTCCTTTAACATTCATTTTCTGTAAACCTTAAACTACATTTTGCAAAACAAATTAAACAATAAACAAAACAGGCATGTTGAATAGGAAAGCTACTAATAAACTGCTGATGATTACTTATGAAAATAATTTTAATTTTATTTAATATATATATTTATATAATACATAATAATATTTCAAAATTGAGATTTCATTTTTGAGTTAGGTGGGTGTATTCCCTGTTAGTGGAGATGTATCAACATTTGTTTATTTTTACGTTATGTAATAATCAACTGAATCCTTTTGATGTTTTAAAGCATGTACAGACCTGATATTTCAACGTATTTAAAAAAAACAAACCAGAGTTAAAGTGGTACTTTGACTCATTAACATCATCTCAGCAGATCGCTTATGGTTGGTTGGAGCACAGCTTAAAAAATAAAACTTCCTTAATCTTTAAAGATAACAGATTAAATAAAACAGATTCAAAAACAAGGTGTTGTTCCTCTAAAACAGCAGTTTCAGTAAACAAATCTATCAGGATTTGCTACTGCTAACTTATCTTAATGTCCTTCCATTTAGTTCAGCCTAAGCAAATGTGTATTTGTGCTAGATCTTAGTTTCTCAATATCTTTGAATTTTGAAGTTTTTCTATAAAATGCTTCAAAATTCAAAAGTACTTAGTAACTAAAACAACAGTTTGATTAACGTCTGCACATATTTGAATAGTTCAGAGCTTAGAATGTATAAAGAAGACATTTATCATCATAAACTGCCTTAAAGTGGTGTCACTAACTCTTCTTCCAGACAAAATATAACCTTACCATTATTTTGGGAGGAACAAAGTCATCTCCTTCACACGCCATCCTCTCCATCTCCTTCTCCTCCTCCCAGTCTAGGGCATCTTCAAGCGCTCCATCTTCCAGGGCATTAATAGGAGTCTGCAGGTCTCCACCTGGAAAACAATACGGCACAGCGCTGAGCATTGAGATCTTGGGTAACAGGATGCCTACAGAGATGTTGGCTGAGTGGTGGGCAGTCAGCGAGGTGGCAGAGAGATAATTAGGGACAAGGGACCAAATCAGAGGGGGTGGATGAAGGGGAAAGGATGGGGATGTTAATAAGGATGACAAAAACATGAGGAAATAAACAATACTTGGGGGAAATAACTTCAAGTTAATGCAACCAAGGGGCTCCCAAGAACAATTTAGTGCATTTTTTTCTTTTTTGCATGCATATTAATTCTATATTATATATATTATAGAGACAAAACCTCAAAGTCCAAGTTATAATTGTGTATTTTTTACATAAATATACCTTAAATTATGCAGAAGTCATTACTTATAAATATATCTTTGCGTAAGAGTGACCTGCAGATGAAGGAGAAGTCTGATAGTAATGAGAAAGCAAAGGCTTCAGAGATAGGAAACCTTCCACACATCCTAAAGCACAGATGATCTCATTTACTCACTAAACTCTGAAGGTGAGATCTTTCGTGCCAATTTTTGCGAAGCTCTGATGATAGCCTGCACTCTCACTCTTGCATCTGCATAGCAGAGCTTTTCCAAATTCAAATGAATAAAGGATTGCCTGAGATCTTCCATGGCTGAGAAATAATCAAGCCAGCGGGCAGTTATTAGCATTAACAAAAAAGTTGGCTGCAGGATCTCTGTGATGTCATCAGTAACTTTCAACAGGCCGAGAGAAGACTTCTCACATTTACATAGGGGAGAAGGTTTGCCTTTTTTTTTTTTTTTTTATTCCTCCATGTGATAAAAACATTCATAAAGGAGCAACATGTATTAATCATAGGGTAAATCTACAAGCAGAATTAAGCAGCTAATTTTAGGTCGGCTACAGGAGCAGACAACCAGACCAGTTAAACACCTGCAATTATCATGTAATTTATGAAAGATTATCCTGCATCAGATGCAGTCCTTTATTAGACATATTAGTGTGTTTCTTTTGTATTTTTAATAAAGGCTGTTTCCCTACATGACTTATGATGAGATCAGAGCTGCAGACTTCTATCAATGTTTATGATGCAAAGGAGTAATGTATCTGAAAAATTATCTTAAAAGACGTTTTCTTTGAAAGTAAGTGCAGAAATGGAGAGATGAAAGCAGCCTTAAACAGGTTGTTCTGTTAGAGCTCTTTCAAACTGTAGAGTTTGAAACATTAAGACACATAATAGGCTTTTATGTCACCTATGGAAAGCTCCAGTTTTGTCAGCCACAGTCAAGCATCTGCTGTAAGACTAAAGCAACACTTTCACTAAATCTGGTAATAAGAAGAGAAAATTACACATTTTGATCAGAGAACAGAGGTCTGTTTCTACATTGAAAGGTTACTTTTCTCTTGTTTGACAGCTAAATACCAAAACATGTCTGTTGCAGCTTAGAATGAAACACAAATTAGGAGCAGATTTCAGAGTGAAGCACATATTTTTAGTTTGAAATCTTGAGACACGCTCAGAGCACAGATATAGCTACTTATCGGTTACCAGAACATGTTCAGAGTAGAAACCAACCAAGCAGAAGTTTTGGGGCTCCAGATCAACAGGGATCCCCCAACAGCATTTAAATCTAGACAGAATATTGATATCAAAATGTCTGATTCATAGTTATGTTTGTCTATAATAAGACATTTAAAAGGTCTGAGGGTTAAAAATGTAATCACAATTTTAGAATAGTTTAGAAAGTCTTTTAATTTATTTTTCCATTAAAAAAAATGTAAGCTTATTTCTTAAATCAAATTGATAGTTTTGTTAGTTGTATTTTAATGTTTAAATGTTTTAATCGTCTCTGCATGAGATGCATTTCATTTGCAGCACTTTACTGCAAGTAAATCATAATAATTATCAGATTATTTTTTTCCTGTGGCTTCCTGTAAGCACTACTGATTATGCCTGACATATATGTCCTTGTATTCTGACTCTATCAAGTCTGTGTTTCCTGATATGCTGTTTATTTATCTGACAAACTGAGGTCAGTAGTACCCAAAAGATTTTATACAAGTCATAAATAACTTCTATAAAGTAATTTAAATTATATTTATCTCTGTTTATTCCTATACTGTAAAATCTTTTTAGATGCAAAGAATTACAAGCCATCTAATTTCTTCTGTTTTGTTTTGTCATTTTAAGTAATATTCATTACATATATCATAAAATGCAATCGATGAAGCATTAAATAATGAGAAAGGCAACAGTTGAAGAACAGGAAGATGTAAGGGGAAAAAAACAACAATGTAGAATCCTGTTTAATAGCATAAAATACATCAGAGGTTCAACAAAAGCATCAACCATCAAATTTGAACGTCTTCTTTTGGTTTATTTTATTACATTTTACACAGAAACAGTGATGGAGGTTGGTGGAAAAAAAATAAAATAAAATAAACCAGCACAAACTGGAACATCAGTGCACACAAACAGCATGCAAACATTTTGAGCTGGCACATATGCAGAACCCTACAGAGGCACAAAAGACACACAACTCTAACAGTAACATTTCTAACGGTTAAAACAATCGGACTTGAACACACACTCCAATGTGAAGGACATACTCACAGAACGAGAGAGCATCACAAAATTGAAGAAAGACCCACGACCAGAGGGAGACAGATGGACAGGGTCAGAACCAACAGCAGAGACAGTCAGTTTGTACGTGTGACTGTGTCATTAATGTGCGACTTGTTTCTTTTCTGTAGTGTTAGTTGATCTCCGTCAAGATGTAAGTTGTGATGCCAAATGCTAGATCATTATAAGGAAGACCTGCAGAGCAGATTGCTCAGCACTGTCTCTTGTTGAGAAGAAACGCACAATACTGAGCTCCCTCTAGCTTTTTGATTTAATAGATTATTGAGAAGATGCTGAATTAAAACTGTCATAACACTTTTGTATCAGACAGACAAAATGCATGTTAAAATCAAAAGGTATGCTGCAAAAACAATCTAGAAATAAGTCAAAAATTTTCTAAATTATGTTTATCTATGGTTAATTTAATTAGGTAAATAGGATGATTTGCTAATGGAATTACTATTATTACCCTTAAAATGAGATAATTAGATAATATTCACTTGAAATAAGACAACGCAATTGTTTTTACTTATTTTAAATGCAAATTGTTTTCTTCCATTGGCAAGGTATTTCACTTACCTCCTCAGTTCAAGAAAAAATGCACATTTTAAGAAAAAAAAACTAAATTTAGATTTTTCTTTTCCAGCGTAGTGTAACATTTTACAAGTTGATCAAAGCTTTGTTTATCTTTATCTTTTGATTTTAAATATCAATCAGTCAATCAGAAATTAAATATATTTCAAATTAACAATAAAAAACATTGTTAATCCTTACATTTTGAGCCTGTACCTATTTTATTTTAAGTATTTTATTTGACCGACCCTCACAAAGTAGAAGTAAAAGCCCCATTTATGGACAAAATCACAATTAAAACACAATTAAAACGACAGAGCAAAACAAGATGATAAAAAAGTATAAAAGAAAATGTATATATTTTTTTCAAGATCATAAGGAAGGACTGTTTTTGTGAGAAATTCTTCAGATGTGACGACCAACTGTGGAGTCAAAGGAAAACGACATTTGGGGGAATATGTTCAAAAATATGTTCATGTGTGTCCATGTGAATAGGAAAATTGTGATCCATTTATTTACCCTTATACGACTCAACCCTTCCCTATTTTCCAGTTCAATTATTTAGTTATTGCAGCTCCACANTTTTTTTTTTTTTTTTTTTTTACCAGTTTTAGAGATCTACATATTACATTTTTTTAAAGAATTCTTTATTGAGAAAAAACTAAAGCTTCGTCGGACCTGATAAAAAAAAATATCAAGAAAGAATTATTTTCAACCCTTCTCAGCTGTTTAAGATATGGATTTTAATTTGGCCATTCTAATGTTTGAAAATATTTAGATGTTTACTAAATCCACCAGCAACTTAAGTCTCCAATAACATCCAAGAAGTTTAATTCTAGTATTGGCCCATCGTTAGCTCCGCCCCTTTCCCCATCATTCTGACTAGTATACCTGTACCCCATCCCCAGTGGGTTGGTGCATTTAACATTATATTAAATCTTGCTTTTCCATTTTAATTAGCATTCGAAAATGTTTCTATTTACTGTATCAAAAATGGTTATTTATGTTTATTTTAAACAATTTCTTTCCTTATGCAAAAGCAAGTTTATATATAAATATGTATGCACATGATGGTTCCTTTTGTTTGTTGTTTCTATTGTCTCTGTGAAGTGCTTTGAGATGGTGTGTTTTTTTTTTTGTGTGCTTTTTTTTCACTTAACTAAATATTATTCACAAAAAATCCAGGTGAAGAACATTAAAGTTTTAGGGGCTTTTAACAGACTTCATGTGAACCGGTGCCAGAAGAATGAACCGTTCAGTAAGACAATGCATAAATAACCTTGAAGCTACAAGTGTTATTGTTTTTTTTTTTTTTTTTTTTTTTTTTTTTTTTTTGTATTATTTTATTATTACTACATATTGTTGGTTGCTGTGGTGTGTTATTAATAAAGGAGGAAAAAAAAAGTTTGAATGGTTTTAACCCTGGGGGCATTATAAACAAACCATCCGGTCTGAGTTGGATTTACAAGGTTTAAAAACCTTTGCCTTGAAATCTATATTTATAGCTAGGATTTAATCAATTACTCTCTTATTTAAAATTTTTACAACAGTTTGTGATTCCTCATGTTGCTTTTTGGATCCATGTGCACACATGAGCATGTATGTGTGTGTTAGTCCTTGTGAACTCACTGTCTTTTGCCTCATGAGGAGAATCAGTCTTGACTGGGGTGGGGTCACTCCAGGAACGGCTGAAACTCTTGGATCTACGCTCAGCGAATGCTGGTACAGGTGAGGAGAGAGAGTCACACACGCATGCTCACACTCACACTGTGTAGTACACGCGCAGGAAGGCCTGCATGGCTTTTCCATCAATGCAAACACCGGAAAAACAAGCAAAAGTGCAAAGACTGCTGCAAAAACCAGAGCACAGATATAAAAAGCACAAAGTGCAAAACTCTTCTCCACAAATGCAAAAACTGCTTACATACAAAACCAACAAACAAATGAGCACACAAACAGCACACAGTCATCCTGCTGCTCATTATTATTCATAATGTGTATTTAAAGGGGTGGGGGGGGTGGGGGGGGGAAGTCGAAGTTCCAACTGAGCAGGGAGGGTGTTCCTCCCGGGGGCAGGGAGCCAGCTGGTGGGGGGGGGGAGGGGGGGGGGGGGGGGATCCTATTGGTGTGCAATTCAGGTCTTATATATTTAAAGCTTCCAAGTAAGTGGTGCTTCATTTCTATTTCTTACAATCTGCACTGATGAATCAAATCATGCATATCATTTACTTATATCGTGACAGCGTAAGGTCATTTCCTGACTGATGCAGTTTGATGTAATTCTTGAGGAGCAGCTAAACAGATCAGGACATGTGAAAATAATCTTTTTCTTTAATCATTTTCATGCCATGTGTTTTTGTGGCTCAGGCTGCACTCTTTGCATCTGCTGGGGTTAAAGGGTGTGCTTCCTTCTGTTGCTTGCTTTGCGCATTTAGTGCAGAAATGAAGGAAAGTAGGGTTTAATAGTTATGCAAAAATGCAAACCAATCAACAACAATTTGTGTTTAATCACAAAGCTTCTAGGTTTTAGACTACTTAGAAATTAGTTTCTGGATCAAGATGAAATGCTTTTTAAATAAAGGTTTTTCTTAAAAATGCACATTTTTATATTCAAGCATTTAGATGTTTTGAATTGAGTAAATATATAACTTCCATCTGCAGTTTTTAAACAGGTCTTTATTTCTAATTAAAATGTTTTCCCTAAAGTGATACACCATCAGATAATGTGTTTCAAGTAAATGGCATTTCAACTAAAGCTCTGCATGGATTTATAGGAAGTAAACATCCAATAATTCTTTTAGCTTTAGTCTGGAATGGAGAAATCTTTAATTTTAGAATGTAAATAACAAATACAGCAATAATTATTTAATTGGCTGTGTTCAATTTGACATCAGTCTCACAATTTGAACAGGCCCATACCTTGTTGTGGTAGAAATAATATCTCTAAATAACAAACTTAGCATGCTGCTAAGTTATATGTATGCACATGAGTCTATACATGTGTCTATAATTCTGTAAATAAATTAATATAGTAATAGTATTTAGCTTGATAACTGAGGTAATTCAGCTGCTTTTCTAAGGGTGAAAGAGGTTTAACATGATTATAGGGCATAATTCTCCCTAAAACTGTTTAAATAAGTTGTTCAGCCAGTTCAGAATTACAGCATATTTTCCTCTAAATATTGATAAAAGAATCTGCTATGATTAATTTATATTTAAATATTTACACATCGAAATTAAAACCATAAAATGTTAGGAAACTATCACTTAAATGATGAACAAAAAAAAAAAAGGCTTGGTCAATGACCGGACGATTAGCGACGGCCTACTGCCTACTGTTGCTTTTGAGCCAATATATATAAGGCACAATATAAGGAAATTAAATGTAATATAAGGCACAATAAACAGGAGTCTCTTAGGTTAAGAAAAAAAAAACTGCACATAATGAAAAGATTCAAATGTCATGAAATGATGAAAGCTTTTTATAATCATCTGATTTTCCTTATCGCTCACCTCTATACACTGGTTATGAACGGAGAAAAACATTGACACATTTATTAATTTTGATTTGTAAAATACAAAAGAACCGTTTCAATGGAAAAATATTGCACTATGAACTATAAACCCATATGGTACTTTAGTAGTTTGTACATCTAGTCATTTCAAATGTCCCACTGTGAGTAAATGTATACAGTATAATAATACTCTGCCAGCTACGTACTGCTACCTCTGCTCCATGCAGATGTTGCTTAGATCAGACAATAAAAGAAAAGGATTCCAGATCCTAGGGGTGATTGTGCTGCATTCAGAGCACCATTGCTACAACATTTAATGACCAAGTTATGTCATTAAGCAGCGCTGGATTAAAGGAATGGAAATATGGTGCCTTTAGGGCTAAACTTCACAAAACAGAGGCCAGAAAAAAAAAAAAATTAAAGCACAAAAATCCCTTTTGGTAAAATATAGAAGAATTGAAATTTATTAAATTCAATTGAATCAAATTCAATTCAATAATACTTTATCAATTCCCAAAGGGAACTTCAGTTAATCCAATTTACCAAGTTAACTTCATACACAGCTTGATTAATTGTGGTGGGACATCTTGGTTAGGTGAACTATGGTAGGTCCTGATTATCTTGAGTGGATTTAGTGGAATTTATTGCTTCAGTGATCAACCAAATTTTATTTCAATTACAAAGAAGTGTTATAATTTTAAGAAAATTAAGTTAATCGCAACAATTCATTAGAAAGCATCTAATAAATATAAACACGATGTTCTGTCTAATAGCTTTGATCAGATTTCGTCCATGTCATTTTCTTTAGAATCAAATGTTCACAGTGCATCAGCTTTATGGTTGCGTTGAAATAAAAGGTATTGTAAGGACTGTATTATTTACTCATGTTTTCAGCATATTGTGGTTATTTTAAATACAACTGGCACAAGACAACCCCCCCTCCCCCCCAAAAAAACAATAAAAAAAAGATTGTATATTTACATTTCCTGCTGTCTGATAAGCTGAATATTTCAAAGAAAATATAACTTTCAACCTTCTCTATTTCTAAAAATATGTAAGTTTGCTTTATTTTGCAATTTACAACAACCAAGGAAAATACATTCAAAGAGCGCATATTACATGCACACAGGTCCAACCATGCGAACACTTGCCTTATTGATATTTTCAACATATACATTTGAAAAAGTAGGGCGAACGAGTAACTTTTGTTTTCACATACATGCAACATAAAGGTTAAGAACAGAAAAAAAAGGATGATGGTGGGGTGAATAATATCACAGTCAAATTGAACAAACATATCAACTGCTTACATACACACAGATCTGACTCACTCTGCGCTTTAATCCTCCTGCTGCCCACCATCCGAAGATGCTTCCGGAAGTTCCTGTGGGTAGTCGGATCATAGTGGAGGAGGGACATCGGAAGACAGAGGATGGAGGACCACAACGTGAGGAGGAGAAACAGGAAGGGGTAGGCGGGTGGGAGAGCCGGGCAAAAAAAGAAGAAGACAGGAGTTAACTGTTGAGACCTTCTTAAAGGTTGAAAAGCGACTATTAGGTAAATAAAGTGTGTATATTTTGTTGTCAGCATGAGCAGAAAATAGGGTTGACAGGCAGAGTGGGTGTAACATCCTCTGTTATTACTGTGTCGGTTAAAATGTGCTGTATAAATAATTTTGACAGCAACATCTATTCTTGTGTAAACATCTGAAAGTCAGGAGGTTATTCATGCAGCAGCTGAAAGGAAAACCCTTTTTTTTATTCAGATGTCGCTGTGTTGGTGGAGGATCTTCCTCTTACACAAAACATACTCCAACTCCAGATAGTTTTCCTCTCTGACACATAAGAAAACCAGTAGGCTGAAAATAATCAGGCTCTGATATGTATTTTATTTCATGCACTGAAAGTTTTGTTGTTTTGTAATTCTGCTTCTTTGCATAGATCTGAATAATTTCTGTCACAATCAGAAGCTTTTATTATCTAAATATTGAAATTGATCTGTTAAATATCTCAATAGAACCAAACATTTAATATTTAAAATATAAAATTTTCCTCCTATCTTTAATTTTCATTGAACATGTACCGTATATCCAGTGCAATAACCTATAATAATGTTCTTATTGAGACTGTAAGAAGGCTATGAATGGATTATTACTGCTTTATGATGATGTTTTGATAAGATGAGGTTCATTCGGTAAAGTAACTCATAAACTCATCATAAACTTCCACTTATAATTCTCAGCTATTGCTACTATTAAAATATCAAACACTGTTTACTGTATTTCACTCAGCAATTAATTTAACCAGGTAGTATGTTAGCGAGATCATCAAATCATAGTCTATGGAAATAAACAATTAGAACATAAAATAGTTATTATAAAAGGAAAATAACATGTTTAGAACTAGGTTATTAAAAAAAAACAGGTACTGTAGATCTAAAATGAATAGTCAAAACTTGTAATTAAGATTTAAAAACACTGATGATTATATGATTTCCTCCTATTAAAGGTTTGCAATTATAACATTTATATCTGAATGTAAAGAGATATCTATATTTTTTGTGTTGTTGTGCTCATCAAAAACAGATCTAGTTTAAGTGAGGATCTTCTCCCTCATTCGCTTTGTATTGAGAAACACCTTAAGATAAAGGATTCATGTTTTCAAGAACTAAAATTTTATGAGGTTTGATAGAATGAATCTACTACTAACATAAGAATTTGCGTATAAGGAGCCCCAATTTCCTACACATTCCACATTGGGAGCATTATTCAAGTATTACATTGTTCTTAGCACTACAGTAAGGCTCTGGAGCTTCAGGACATTGTATTTTAAACTATGTCCCAAAGTAACACATATCCAATAAGATGGCTACTCTTGATGAGCTTACAGAAATTTTGATAAATTATTTTAAAAAAAGAGTCCAAAAAATGTGGATTAATTCAAATACATATTTAATCTTAATGGAAAATAGTAATGTAACTGAACAAAGTGTCTGCTTCATATTTGCACACAAAAAATATGAGTGCATTAATCTGGTAGAGAAGGGGAACCTATGAGTTTAAGTGTAAAACCCTAGGATCAAAAAAGTATTTGCAAGAAGAGAAACATCCTGACAAAAGACGGACCCCCGCCATTAGATCACATTTTACGCAGAATTTTCCCCAAGCTGTTCAGCTGCTTATATCTCAATAACCTGCTAGCATGACTTTTTAGAACTGAAGGAGGAAACTGTATCTTAAGAGCAGTATCATCTGACAGGCAAATGTTATCATCAATTCTAACATTACTTTCGTAACTATGATACAAATCTACTCATTTCATACGCTTATGTGCAGCATATGTTAGCATTCACAGTTTGCCTTGTATTAGCCAGAAAACTGCATGATTCTTTTCCTGATACATTTTCTGTTTGCAGGGTTTTGCATTATTGTTTGCAACTTAATGTGTCTATTAGCATCTTTAAAATCAACAAAGGATTTTATTAGTTTTTCGCCATATGACTTGCTGCCAGAATTTGACATAATGTTTTATGCAAAAGCTCCAGATAAACATCCTTTCGTCTTTCAGAGCCCCTCCCATGTCGCCTCTACACAGGTATCCAAGCACCAAGCAACTAGCCAGCACTCATTATTAATGGCCTCTGCATGGGGCTGTGTGAGAGTGGGAAGTGTGTTTATCTGATGGTGGAGGGGAGCGTTAAAGGAGAGAAGACATTTTTATTTACTTTCTCTGTTGTCAGTTTACCTCCAAGGGATTGAAAATTTAAGCTGGTGCAAACGGACTAAAAAAGACATACTTTTAAATTACCTGCTAGTGCAGTTGTTGAAATATTACTAATTATTTTAATGACTTAACAGCGTTAGGAATGATTAAAAAAAAGTCACATATAATTAAAATAAATTATGTAATTGAATTAAAACTAATGGGACTCTTCTGAGATCTTTTTTGTTACTTCGTCACACAAAAACACAGGATTTATTTACTATAGTTAAAATAGCAATAGAAGGTATAATATTTTCATTCTAAGCTTAAAAGGACGAGATGAGATCATGCCTGCAGGGCTGGGTTACCCACAGCATGTCTAGCTGCTGTGTAGAATAATAAGTGTGACTATCAGGCCCGAACAGGCAGTTCGCTTTTAGCCTCTTGTCACTTTTCACCGCTTCACAAAGAACTCTACTTTTTCTTGTCTGAGAATGAAGTTGGATTTAGTTAAATTACGTAAGAAATGTGTGAATAAACATGTCTGCTTAATTTAAGAGCATCTAAGGTGTGTTTTATTAACTTAGGAATATTTTGTGGCACACCCTTGCTGCCTAGCAAAACACGTAAACATTCGTTTTCAGTCATTTCAGTTTTCCTTTCAAGAATTTAACATAACAGTGTTTCTTTCAAGAAATCAATTTTTGTAAAGTGCCATAGTCCTGGCAGCAGCAAGCCATCCACATGTGATCCCCCACCATACTTCATATGTGGGATGGTTTTCCTTAATAGTCATTGGCAAACATTATAATTTTGGTATCAAGTGAATCTGTTTTTTTTTTTTTTTTTTTTTACCAGTTTTAGAGATCTACATATTACATTTTTTTAAAGAATTCTTTATTGAGAAAAAACTAAAGCTTCGTCGGACCTGATAAAAAAAAATATCAAGAAAGAATTATTTTCAACCCTTCTCAGCTGTTTAAGATATGGATTTTAATTTGGCCATTCTAATGTTTGAAAATATTTAGATGTTTACTAAATCCACCAGCAACTTAAGTCTCCAATAACATCCAAGAAGTTTAATTCTAGTATTGGCCCATCGTTAGCTCCGCCCCTTTCCCCATCATTCTGACTAGTATACCTGTACCCCATCCCCAGTGGGTTGGTGCATTTAACATTATATTAAATCTTGCTTTTCCATTTTAATTAGCATTCGAAAATGTTTCTATTTACTGTATCAAAAATGGTTATTTATGTTTATTTTAAACAATTTCTTTCCTTATGCAAAAGCAAGTTTATATATAAATATGTATGCACATGATGGTTCCTTTTGTTTGTTGTTTCTATTGTCTCTGTGAAGTGCTTTGAGATGGTGTGTTTTTTTTTNAACGAATCATGTATGAAAAATGAATAATAAAAAAAAGTTCACCTGTTCTAAAGTTTGTTTTGTCATTTGTAGAGTAATTCATGTTACTTACAATACTGTAGGATTTCAGTATCTCCTACACTGAAAAAAGTGTAACATGTAGCTGTTCATTCAAACTAATGACTGTCACTGTAAACTGGACAAAATTATTGATGTGATTGTATAACTCATTCTTTTGGGATTTTGAGACATCGGCTTTAACCTGAACTACTGTAAAAACATGTACAAATGACCCAAAACAAAGTTTTTTATTTATTTATTTATGACCTGCAGCTAATTTTTTTTTTGTTTGCAACAAATGATAACTGCTACCGCTTGCCAAGGTTAGTTAACATCAATTTACACCACCTGGATTTACACCAAGGCTATGTTAACAATTAATAAATACATTTAAAGTAATCTGTCTTTACATTAACATAAAATACTCAGATCATAACAAATGATTAAATTCAGATTCTGTGAAGTCAAATATTTTACATGTGATATCTGGACACCATTTTTAAAATTTGAGCAAGGTTATACTTTTTCCAGTGTGGCTTCCATTGTTGAGATATATATATATATATATATATATATATATATATATATTTATTTTTTTTTTAATAGTTGTTTATTTGCAAAAAATGACAAGTGACTCCTTAAACTATAATATTTTTAGTTGAACAAAGTGGTTGGGAAATGTGCATCTTAGGTTATTTAGGCATTTAGTTGATCCTCTATTGTTAACTGAATAAATGAGTCTGTGAGCGAATTCATTTAACCTGATTACTTCCTCCTGGCTTTACATTGCTGATCCTGTGGTGCCTGGCTTGACGTTTGTGGAACCGCTGAAGCCATGATGCATTCCTCCCTCTAGATCAAGCCAGGCATTGTGTTTTAGCCTGGAATGTTTAAATTCAGCTTTTACGAAACTTGTCTCGTGGCTGAAACAACAGTGGCTTTGTAGACATTACTGTGCACATGTGCATGGCTTGGTGTTCAAGTAAAATTTGAATCGCATAACTTTTAGTATTATGCAGCATTAAGACTATGCATCAATCAGATGGTGAAAAAAGAGCCAAGTTCTAAGATTGAGAAAAAATTACACAATTAAGTTTAATCATTTTACAGAAAAGAAAATATACGGTATTGAATACCTGCTGACGGGTCCCTTTAAAGATTGCACCCTAACATTTGCGATTTGCTTAGACGATTTTCAGGCTGGAAGTAACTTGCAGGGTTAATGACTCTGACACTGCAGATGGATGATACTGAGATGTCAAAGGAACCGAGATGTACTGCCTGGTGTCAAATTTACCATCTGGCCCTTTGAGATAGAGCATCTGGGTCTGAGTGGGATGGTTTCTGAACTTGCTAGGGAAGTAACTACCCTTCCAAGTGCTACAGAATCTCACTCAGCTTTTTTTCCAAAAGCTTTCAATTTTTAATTCTTTGTGTCATGAATTTTGGATAGAGCATTACAGAAAATATTTGCAAGGTAAAAGTCTAAAGATTGCGGATCGATGCAGGTTGCAGGAGCCTGCTGACATCCTCACACCTTCATGTTGTAGATTTTGACCAGAAGACATAACCCTTTCACTTAAAAATAGCATAGCCTGTCAAGAGACACTTCGTACCTCAAGATGACTTCTGCCGTATCCTTCTCCCTCTCTCTTCTTTTTCTTTGCACAAATCCCCGGAAAGCCCTGGCAGGACGTGGATCAGTATTAAAGGGATAAGAGAGGGAGACTGCTGGCATAGGGAGGGGTAGGGCCGTGCAGGGAGGCTGATGCCATGGCTTTTAGCTGCAGGGTTTATTTGGCTATGAATGAGACTCTGTTGTAAGAATCGCAGCAGATAGCTTTGACAACAAAACACAGATTGGATCACTTAAATTAGCTCTAAAGAGATATCAGTCTATCTTTTTAACAGGTATTTAAGCAGTGGGGGTTATAAGCTTATACGAATTAGAACAGCAGGTCTCATGACCTATAGCGACATCTTAGGTTGGCATGCTTAAAAAAATAAAAGCTAGCTTTGGGGTAATTTAAATTTTGTTTTTTTTATTTACTCTACCAGAATCACACACCTTTTCATGAAGAGAGTACTCTTTCTTTCTAAATCTCTTAAAAAAAAGCTCACTTTCTGCTGCATGTTTAATATTTCTGACATGCATCTACTTTTTTAAAGAGTAAGTCCTGCTCGAAAATATGGACTACTGCAAGCTATCCAAACCAAAGAAAAGTTTTTTCTTTTTCTTGCGAGTCCAACGTTGTGAAACTCAGACTGCGTTTTGTCTGTGCTAAGGCTCAACGTTGGGTACAAAGTTGGTGTGAATATCATCGCTTTCAAACTCTGTCTAATCTGTGTTACAGTAGTAGTTGGCAATGGTCCTGTGAAATTCCCCAACACTTGTGCAGAAGAACGCAAACTGGATGCAAAAGTATTCCAGCCTCGCTAAAGGTAAATATTTACCAATAATTAACTGTGGGTATTTGGATTCCTTGCAAAGTTAATTCAATTTATCAGAACAAAAACTGAAATAAGTGCCCCAGAGTTTATTACATGCAAAGAAATCTCACTTTGGACTCAATTTCAATGCAGATTTTGGCATCTTCTTCTAACTCTGGTAAAAGAAATAAAAATCCATTGCAAAGCTGCTAATACCCACTTTGTTGTCACATAACAACCTCCAATGTAAATGTACTTTATCTGGATTTTCATGTGACAAACCAAAAATGTGTACAAACAAATTTAGGAAAAGAGGGATTTACATTTGTATTTCTGCTCTGACAACCAAAGATATTAACATTGTTTATAATCATTGTTAGAATAAACCCTATTGAATAAAAACATAAATACCCATGTCTTACATCAAAATGTGCAGACACAATTTAAAGCATATTTATTGTAACACAGCAGCTCCCAAATACCCGCATATTGTCCACCTTAGAGCCTATTTCTAAACATCTGCACCATTAATCCCCATAACATGAATCCTGAGTTGTATTTAAATGTTTTAGTAGTTTGAAAATAGTTGAAATCAAGCACAGTAATGGCATAGCGCAGTGCCCACTGAAGCAGCCAACTCCTTTTTTTTTTTTTGTGTGGCTACAAAACATAGTTAAAAATCAATCAGAAAAACTGTTTTGCTATTGCAGGTAGAAATGTCTGTATCAAAAGCCTTTATACCGCATTTACATTGCATATATATTTTTTTTCAAAAAAAACTTTTTTTTAATCTACCAAAAGAAAAAGAAACAACGGTTTTGTGAAAAATAAATGCTTGGTGTTTTTCAAATAATCCATATTTCAACCAAATGCTCTGGTTTAAAAATGGAAATAAAAAGAAAACCAAAGCTGTTAAGGCTACAATAGATTACATATCTTACAAAGCTGGATGAAGATTTGAACAACGAACAAATAATCACTTCTGTAGCGTAAAATTTTCTAACTCGCTCAGCTTCACAAAGAACGGAGCTGAATGGCAGCACAGGCTAAACACAGAGACTTTCCTTTAAGGCACATTTCTATAACCCCAGCCTGACAGCATGCTTAATCAAATAAACTGTATTCATCTTGCTACTGCCAACCTGTGGTGTAAAACTAATAGGTTTTACGCTGCGGACCAAAGTAGCAGTTACACCTTTATTATGTTTAACAGAAGCTGATGTTAGTCGGGTTAGTTAGTGAGGCTGTGCTGTAGCAGAGAGCCTGGAGAATGGGGGTGGGGAGGGGGACGGCATTAAAATTTGATCTGGGTTTTATCTTCCATATAACAAAATTAAATAAATTGAACACTGTATTTGGTAATATACTAAAGCATGAATGCATGCAGCAATGACAGTTATATTTATTTATTCATGTTTTTTTGATAAATTGTGTTTTGTTCATACTGAAAAAAACACTACTAAAAACTTTTTACAGCTAAATGTCCTCCTAGTTTTAGTCTGATTTATTTGCTTCACTTCCTGGTTTCATCATGTTTTTATCTTTACCTTTATTCTGCTTTTAGTTTCCTTTTTGTTTCATTGTGTGATTCATGTAAAGAACTTTAGATTGTCTTTTTACTGAGCTAACCCTGTGCTATATGGATAAACTGCTTTCCTTATTTTCTGTAAATCTAGCTGTTTATCTGCAGTAATGATGCTCATTGATGCCGCTTGTATGAAGATGATATTGAATTGACTTGGCTTTTTTTTTTGCCTGGATCTCATTTATGTGGTTATTTTTTAGTTTTATCAAACTGTTAGGCTCTTAATTTATTGAAACTAAATCTAAACTACAGCTAAAAGATTTAGAGGAACAAGTATCTCAACTACTAACTTGAACTACCTCTGCATACCAAATCTTCCAAACCCATTTTTAAGACTCAGATTTATTTAGCTAATATTCAGTGATAATGAGGAGGGTTTCTGAGTGTGATTACTGCACTCTATTATGTCTGACAAAAATAATAAATGGTTGAAGTAGAACTATCCATCTAGTGGGTTTATGCCCAATCTGCAGAGCTTAGGTCACCCAATAGTCATTTTCTTTAATCCAGCACAGCTACTCGGTTGCAGTGAATAAGCTGGACTCTATCCCTTTGTTTGTATTAAAATCTTTTAACTACTTTCCACTTTTCTTTTAACAGTTGTTAATAGTTGTGGTAGTGCTCATAACTGAGTATCTTTCACTGAAAATCAAAAGCTAGAGCTTTAGAAAGGTTTAATGTTCAGAAGAAGCAGACTGCCACAGTATTCTTTGTTTCTTCGACACTAATTTGTATTTTCTATATTAAACATGTGGATGAAAGTTAATGCACATATCAGTGTTAAGGAGCTGGAGTTAAAGTCAAAATATCAGTTCACAAATTAAAAAAAACTCAAGAGGGGAATACTTACGATATCCTGTTTGACGATCGCCAAAATACATCCGAAAGCAAAATTGGAGAGAAGCAAAAGAGAGATGTGTAAGTGTTTAGCCAATAAATCATTTGCTAATAGCTCCACATTATCACTGCTCTACTGCGAGCTCTTAAATATCTCTACTACCTAGTATAGGAGATATAAATAAATAAATTAAACAAGGAAATAAAATTAACAGGAAACCATCCTAAATTTTGTTTTAGTGAAATGCTCATCACAGCTAAAATATGTTCTGGACATAAAAATGATTTTCAAATAAAACGTATTTTTAATTTTCTGAAGAAATAAATAACATAGAAGCTGCAACTTCCTGCCACTGTAGTGATCATTGGCTGTAAGGAGAGAGGAGACATAGGACACTGAGTTTCCTGAACAAAATCTGCTCCGACCCAGGTTAGCTCTTAGGAGAATGTTACTACAGTGATTGAAACAGAGGTTAAGGAAAATCGCTTTTTAAACAGAAAACTCAGTTTCCCTGATTTCAAGTTTGGAAAACTCAAAAGTTGTCAGTAAACTTGCTTCATGAAACTGCCCCCAGATTTTTGCTAAACAAAGTGTTTTTCCTTCACAGTGGCAACACATACTGTAGAGTAAACATGCTAATGTCAAGGTTGGTTTATGCTTAACACAGTCACAGGGTCGGCAATGCATCGTGTGGCCAGATTACATAATTTTACCATCAGCACCCCTGATTTTTTTCCACACCAAGTGCCTAGAAAAAACTAGGTGGATAGTTTAGTGTGAAAAAAACCTGTTGGCCATGGTGACACATTGGCATAACATGAAGTATTCAATAGGTCTGTGAGAAGTGGTTTGTGAATTACTGACAAATAGATAAACCAGTCTAATTTATTTGCATTCTAAAAATCCTAACAAATGTTTGTCATTTTACTTTTGTCTTTGTCTAAAGTGTGAGAAACTTACGCCTGCATTGTTGTCGTCGCTGTTTGGAAGCTGAACATGTTTTCCTTTGGAAACCAGTTAGTGTCCTCTGCAATTTGAGAAGAAAAAAAAAAGTGACTATCCAGGTTAAGTGTACAGAAGAAAATAGTTTGTGCATCATATTGGCAAAATATTGGAATAAATGTAGATAAAAAGCACAAAACCAGCACCAGCACCTCACAGTGCACCACTCCACAAATGGAGAGAGGGAAAGAGGGGAAGAGACAGCAAAGGAGAGACGGTTAGACGAAGAGTCGGGAAATACAGACCACCACTTGACAACTAACACCAACCCTTCAATCCCCAACAGACTGGAGAAAAAATGCATTTGAAGTGTAAGTTAGTCTTGTGTGGTAAACTGTCTCCTTTGGTAAGACCAATCCAGATCAGAGAGTATAACAATTTGGGGTGCAATGATAAATCCTGCTTATGACGCAATAAAATGCACTATATTACATTTGCTTGATCTGAAGAGATCGGTGCTCGGCAATGATATGACTAAAATTTTGCTTTTGTATTCTCAAAAAACATTCGACAAATGTTTTATAGCATTGTCTCACTCTGATGTAATCAGTCTTAAATGCAACACTCTTTGTCCTGGTAAGATGCGTCAAAAAATATCCATCTGTTGCCTTTTATTTCTTAATCCTTAATGACATTATTAGTGTATTCGGTCTGAAAATAACTTATCGTTCTTAACCTTTGATTTGAAATGAAGAGGGCTTTTGGACCTCAGGTTTCTGTATGATCGTGTTACTCAACCCAAACTGGGCAGTTTATTGGTTGTGTCTTCAAATTGCCTGTCTTTTCCGATGTTTTCTTTTTTTTTTTGTTATTTTTCCAAAAAGCACATAAAATTTTAAAGTGGTTGACCAATGCTACCTCTTTTTTTAATCTCAAAATAATAATTACAGTCATAGAGTCGGGGTGAAAAAAAATTGCATTTTCCTTACTCATATGCTGGCAGTGTCTAATATATATACATGAGACAATCCTAAAAATGTTTAACGAAAAATATCATCAAGCTAGAAACACCAAAAATCTAAGGATCTCCCTTATGAGTTTTTCTTGATAGTGAGCATGAGATCAAATGCGATTTATTCTCCAGTCCAACACCAGTGACCCCAGAAACAGGGCCGCACATCAACCCATTTCCCTTTTAGATTTCAGCGCCTCTCGCTTCCTCTGTGTCCTCCACCCTCTCACCTCTCTCCAGCCCAGTCATCCGGTCCACACTCCACATCCGCTCTAGGCGTCGGTGCTGCTTGCCTGCCTCTCGGGACGTACTCTCCAGGTCCAGTGACCCCTGGCTACGTGAAGGAGCACCGCTGCATGAGTCGCAAGCCAGCCCACTGCACTCGGCTTCCCCTCTCCCATCAGCAAGGCTTCGGATATTGTGGGCACTGACTGAGGTCTGCAGTGGCGGTTGGGATAGGTGATGGTGATGATGGGAGTGGTGGTGGGCTGCGTGATGGGAGTGAGATGCTCCAACCATCTGCTGCTGTTGGTTGCTACTGCTGCATCCGCTTGCCCCACTGATTCCACCGCTGCTGGACGAGGTATTTGTTCCAGAGACGGCCGTGTGGTGGTGGTGGTGATTACCGTGGTGAGTGTGGCTACAGCTGCTGATGCCACGGCTGCTGCTCGAGCGGATATACTGGGTTGGAGATGAGGAGGCGGAGGATGGAGAGGTGGAGGGCTGGATCGGGCCACTTTTAGACCCTACCCCACCACTCCTCGACTTTTCCTTCAGGATGTCCAGTTCTAGGCTCTCTTTGCTGCCCCGGCCGCTGCTCATCAGCATACCGTGCTGGGAGGTGATGGTGTACACACGGGTGCACTCAGTAGACGTCTTCTGGTCCTCCTCTGCTGTGAAGCTATGTTCAAGCGAGAGACAAGTTGGCTTGGGAGGAATAGTGTTTGATGGAAAAGGGGGCTGGATTAATGCCAGCTTTTCCTTCGCAAGGATAGGATCTAGTTTATTCGAATGTCCTTTGGCAGAGGAGCAGGGAGGAACGTGAGTCTTATTGCTGAGTCCACTCGGGTCACTCGGCAACTCTGGATCAGGACCCACCAACAAGGTTTCACACTGAAGGTGAGCTATAATATGAAAGAGGGAGATGAAAATAAAAAACATGTGAGAATAAATTAATTGTAAAGCCACTGAAGCTGAAGAGGAAGAAGTAAAGAAATAAAAAGATTAGAATAGCAGAGCAGCTACAGCAACATCATCATCTCCCTGCGGCTGTCAGCAGTTGTACTGACCTACCAGTGAGCACAGCCTGGCATTTCAAAAGAGGATGAGGTGAAGCAGGTGGAGGAAGGATTAAAACCTCAAAGGAAAACACAGCAAAGGATAGAGGGATGGACAAATGGAAGGACGACAGAGACGCTGACCTGATCCGTTTCGGTTTTCAGGGTGTGTGTGGGACAGGTACTCTCCAAATGCTCGTGCTGCTCTGTGGGGATACACAAACAATGACATACACACACAGAGGAATTAATTCATGGTTTGGAAAGGAAGGATGAGTGGAAGACAAGACAAAAGGGAAGAGGAGAATGGAGAAAAGGGCAAAGGAACTGTATATTATAATCCTAATTGCCTTCTTTGTAGGCGTGTGCCACCCACAGATTAAGATATGGCAGTTTTATCTTTCTGCTTCAGCCAGTCTTAGTCTGAGACGAAGACAATGAGACAGCAAGAGGACGCAGCATGAAGGAGAGTTTTTACCACATGTAATTTAGCCACATGAACTATGTTTGCATTGATGGAGCTACTGCAAAACGGGCAAATGTGTTTAAATCTCTCAATTTCAGCTCTGTCCGCGTGTTAGGAAAAATACCCAAACTTGACAGCAAAGTGAAAAACACTTCCTCAGAGATATGTTGAAAATAAATGGGATAAACTCCATAAACACTCTGTTGCACTTTGATCTCTTACCCTAAATAAAATTTGATTTGCATTATTTTGCATACAAAATGTAGAATCAGATAAAAAAAAAAACAGATACTGCTTTCACATGGCTGTATTATCCTTTTAAACATTTCAATTTCTTGTTCTGTAAAAATAAAAATCAACATTAGTCTTAAAATATTGGACTTAAGTATATACTCTTATGTATAGACATACAGAGAGAATATTTCTATTAATGGAAGTCTGCTCTTTCTGACCCTTTTCATCTTTGAGCCTAACTGAAGAAATATGCATGACAAACCTGTTAGACTTGTTACCTGGTTTTTTGTTCAGTAATCATTTTGAATTTACATTGCCATCGATTTAAATCATTAATGTTGCAGCTTCTACAACAAAGGTTAAACAATTACTGTAAGTATGAATGGGGTCAGCCTGGTTCATTAAGTTAAGTGTAGATCAGGAGGTCTGATTTGTTTTACACCCCTTGTCTCACTTTGAAAACCAGGTCTAAAAACTCTGTATTGCCTGTCTCCAAAAACTAAATATATTTTAAATTGTAAAATAGCAGAGGGCATAATACTTGTCCAAGTTCAACCACAATGCATCTCCTTCAGAGAACCTTTTTTTTAAAGCATCATTACAACCTGCTATGGTTTAAATCTTTCCTGCAGCGCTTACTGTAAGGCTTTCACAGTCTCTGAGTCATATGTTTAAATGTCTCTGCAGCAGCTCTCCGTATTCAATCACTCAGGTTTCCACTGCTTTCTTTTGAAACTCTTGTGCATGTGATGGTGCTGCCTTATATTATAGTTTCACATGGCGGCTCATGGAGGCCCTAGAGCAATCGATAGCCTTAGGATTGCAACAATTGTATTGTGTGTTACATGTGAAGCAGGCTGTTTTATTTCAGATAAGAATAAAAGTGAACATTTTTGTTTAGGAAATCACCCTCAACAAAAGCCGTTTTCCTCTATACCGTCTAGGATTCAGATCATCTTTGCTGATTTCTTTTTTGGTACCCTAAAGGCCAATCTCATGGCTGGAAATGTAGCTTAGTTTCCGTGTCTCTGACACATTGAGAGCAAACCTTTACTGTTTGCCTGCATGTTACCTGAATTTTAAAATAATTGATCTCAAAAAGGGTATCTAATTAATATTGTGGTGTTAAGCTGAGATCATTTAATAATTTCACTTAATAACTTTTATATATCCATTTCATATCGCAGTGAATAAAACTGAAAACAGCACAACTAACCACTTAACTAATGTCTAAGTCACTTTACCTTCCTAGACTTCATCTAGCAGCATAAAGATTTATCTGTTTTCGGGAAGGGGTATAATCATATTACATGACATCTTTTAAATCTAAATGCTAGTAGTTCACTCACTTGCATGAAAATTGCTTTGTCCTATTGGTATATTATTTTAATTTTGCATTTCACACTTTCTTTTTGCTCAGTTTGTTAGCAGATAAAGACCCTCATCTATATGCTGGTGAAGATTCTCAGTCATCCAGGTCATATTCATTCCAAAAAAGTTCAAAAACAATCCAGTGGACTTTGTTTCCAAGTTTGAAAGCGAAACTTCTTCAAACTTGGAAACAAAGTCCAGTGGATTATTCTTTAACTTTTTTGGAACCCTACATCTATACGTACAATATAGGCACAATGCTGTTCATGTGTGCAGAGGGTAAGCAAGCCAGCAATAGGCTGAGCCAGTTAGAATCTCCCAGGAGAGTTGTAAAAAAAAAAGGAAAAACAATGAATAAATAAAAAATGTATTTAGCTAATATTCAAAAGATAGTTTTTTTTATTTTTTTTTATGTGTGAACAGCCATGAACTCATACACATTTAAAGAGTGTTTACATTATGAAAAACAAGTCTTTTTTTCAAACATACACAACCTAAAGGAGTAAATAAAAAAATTACACAAAACACCAATAATTTGTTCTCACATAAGTCACCTGGGAACAGCTTTATAAGCGGCATTAAGGATGCTTTTATTTATCTTTCATTATTTTTTCTAGACCTATAGTTTTGCCATTGTGGGAGTCTGTTAAAGGGACTTACGGTATTAGATGTGCCAAATAAAAGGTATGAGGCAAAATGCCTGTCATCGATAGATTCATACAAGATGGATAATAGAAAAATTCCGCATATGTAAACACTATTGTTTGTTTTTTCATGAAAAGGACTGTTATTTGTTTTTATCAGTCTTACAGGCTTATACTGTTTCAATGTGATAGCAATCATTTAAAAAAAGAAAAACCTACAATCGTCACAGAAATAACTTGAAGCTGTAATGCAACATGGGTCATGCAACATGGGTCAGAGGAAGCAAAGTAAAGAGTTTTGTGATATTAATAAAGGTTATAGACCAGCATGTTAAAGAGAAAGGCTCTGAGACCATTTCCAAGCAGCTTGATGTTAATGTGACTACAGTTGCACATATTATTCAGAAACATGGGACTGTAGCCAATGTACCTGAATTTGGCTGCAGGAGGAAAATTTATGAAAAATAAAAGAGGGATAATATAAATGATAACAAAAGCGCTCAGAAAAGTACTCTAAAGAGATTAAAGGTGTACTTCAAGCTAAAGGAACATCAGTGTCATATAACTGCATCAGTCGGTTCAGCCAAAATTGATTTAATGAGAGAGGACACCATTGTGGGAAATAAATCATATAAAAGCCAGACAGGAATTTTCTAAAATACATGTTGACAAGCCCCAAAGCTTACGGGAGGGTGTCCTTTGGACAGATGAGACAAAAGGCACATTGTCTCTATCTTCACAGATGGAATAAAGATCTTAGCAAGAAAAGAACAGTGTCCCTACTGCGAAACACTGAGGAGGCTCTGTTATGTTCCAGAGCTGATTTGCTTCATTTGGTAAAAGAAGTCTTGTATCTCTGCAAGGTACAATGAAATCTTAAGACTATCATGGAATCCAAGAGAGAAAAGTCCTGCTCAGTGTCAGAAAGCTTAGTCTGAGTCGCAGGTCATGGGTCTTGCAACAGGATAATGACCCAAAGAACACAGCTAAAAAAAAACACTAGAGTTTGGCTAGGAGGAAACCCTTGGACTATTCTGAAGTGGTTTTCTATGAGCACTGACCTTAATCCTATTGAGGGTCTTTATAACGAGCTGAAACATGCAGTTTGGATGCACTATTCAAACTTGAGTCAACTGAAGCAATTTGCTCATGGGGGCCAAAGCAACTGCTGAGAGGAGCAGAGGTCTTATTGACAGTTACAGGGATCATTTGATTGCATTGATTGCCTTAAAAGGTTGTGCAAAAACGTATGTGTTTAATGAGTTTATTTTTTCAAAACCATTCTGTTTTATGACAATAATGTAAAATATTTAAGTCAATTCTGACATTAGGGGGGTAAAAAAAAGTCAGATTGCAAATTTGTATTATTTATCAAACACTTCCTGTGATGTTCATCCAATCTCATGTAATAAAACCAATACTCCCATGATGTGGTTCGTGCAATCACACATTTAGTTATCGATAATTAATGACTGCTATTCCAATCATGTTCAGCTGAGCTTGATTTTTGCCGTTCAATCAGGGGTAATTGAGGGAGAACCACCAAGAGTTAGGTACTCGTACGCCGCATTGCAATTTTCCCACTAAAATTAAGGTGGCTTTAGTCACTTTTTGGGTGACAACAGGCTAAAAACTAAGGGTTTATATAGTGCCTTTTCAAGTCAGGGGCCTCCAAAGTGCTTTACACTACATTCAAACTGTAATGTTACAAGCTACATTCTAGCCACAGCTGTCCTGGGACACACTGGCAGAGGCAAAGCTGCTGTATACAGGCAGCTTAATCCTCGCAAAAAGAGACATGTCTTGCTGAAGGGAACTTTACCCTTGTCTTGACCAAGGACATGAGTACTGAGACTGACAGAGCTGGGGTTAAAACAACTGACCTTTCATTTGCAGGATGAATTCCTGCACGCTAAGCCACTGTTGCCGCGAGTGTGGCCTACTATTAGTGATACAAGCATGAAAACATACATTATACAGTCTGCTTCTTCACCTTCACGCAAGTATAAAATGTTGTTGCATCCCAGTCTTAATCCATGGAGCCTAATATGATCTTGCCACGTAGATTACAGTTAAAAATGTTTCAATCCTTCTGGGGAGTTTTTTTATTTTTATTTTTTATTTTATTTATTTATTTTTTACAAGTCTAGAGGTATGCCTATAGGAATTTGTTTCCCTAGGAATACATTTGTGACTTTAGACTCTGGTATTTGAATAGAAGGCCTTGTCTGCTGCAATTTACCCAAAAGTTCTTCTGTTGTGCTTAAGTTGTGACTTGGCTAAAATTTCAGACCAGTCAAGTTTTTTTTTTAACATAAAACTCATTTATGCCTTCTGGATCTCTTCATGTCAACAAGTACAAGGTCATGCGGGATGAGGGGACAAACTGTTCCCACACAATTGGAAGCATGAAATGTTCCAAAATGTCTCAGCATCATGAGGCAATAAGAGATCCTTTCACTGGAACCAAGTGGTAGAATCCTACTCCTGA